TGAAACATTCTAACAAATATAGCCAGCTGGGATCTCAGAGCTGAAGTTATACATTGTTTCGATTATAGAACGGCAAACAAACCAGCAGCGGAAGCCTCAGAGCTAGAGCCAGAGCTAAAGCTGGCCCAGAAGAAAAAAAAAAAAAGAAAAAAAGGAGTGGTTGGGAGCTTCCCGCCAGCCTGAAAGCAGTCAAAACCGCCAGCCTGAAAGCAGCCCTCAGCCCCTCACCCAGACTGGCCAGGCACCCCAGTGGGGACCCCCACCCTGAAGGGTGTGTGACCAGCTGCAAACAGCCCTCAGCCCCTCATCCAGGCTGGCCAGGCACCCCAGTGGGGACCCCCACCCTGATCCAGGACACCCTTCAGGGCAAACCAGCCGGCCCCCAGGCCTCTATCCTATATAGTAAAAGGGTAATATGCCTCCCAGCACCGGGATCAGCGGAGCCGCGAGGCCTCCTGGCACCAGATCAGCATGACAGGGTGCAGCGCCCAAACCCCCTGATCGCCCTGCGGCTCTGTGTGTGACAGGGTGTGGCGTCCCAACCCCCTGATCAGCCCTGCTCTGTGTGTGACAGGGGGTGGCGCCCCAACCCCCCCCCCCCACGGGCCCTGCTGTGTGTGTGACGGGGTAGAGCCATAACCTCCCCATCGGCCCTGCCCTGAGTGTGACAGTGGTGGCGCCCCAACCCCCTGATCGGCCCTGCTCTGTGTGACGGGGGCGGTGCCCTAACTCCCCTATCGGCCCTACTCTGTGCATGACAGGGAGGAGCTCCCCAACCCCCTGATGGGCCCTGCTCTGTGCGTGACGGGGAGGGGGGCAGTGCCCCAACCCCCTGATTGGCCCTGCTCTGTGAGTGACAGGGGGCAGCGCCCCAACCCCCTGATTGGCCCTGCTCTGTGCATCACAGGGGGTGGCGCCGCAACCTCCCTATCGACCCTGCCTTGAGTGTGACAGGGGGCGGTGCCCCAACCCCCCAATCAGCCCTACCCTGAGCGTGACTGTGATGGTGGCATCGCAACCTCTCCGCCCTGCTCTGTGCATGACAGGGGGCAGCGCCCCAACTCCCCAATCAGCCCTGCTCTGAGTCCGTCCAGGGGCTGCACCTAGGGATTGGGCCTGCCCTCTGCCACCTGGGAGCAGGCCTAAGCCAGCAGGTCGTTATCTCCCGAGGGGTCCCAGACTGCGAGAGGGCACAGGCCGGGCTGAGGGACCCCCCCTTCCCCCCCGAGTGCCCAAATTTTTGTGCACCGGGCCTCTTATCATTTATATTAGAAAATCAATTACTAGAATATATTAAGATATGATCAACCTGAACAATACAACATCAAAATAGTAAAACACTACTAAATCCAAGTAAAATGCTGCTCCTATCATGTCATCAAATTAATGCTGCTGCATTTCAAATTTTATGAAATTTTACTTGTTTACTGTAATTATATTATAATCACTAATATAAAGAAAAAACTGGTTAATGATAACCCCAAAATTAGAGAAACAAAAATTACACAAGTTGAAAAATACAAGTGTAAGTAGTTATTTCAGCTTGGAGGCTGTGTGCCCAGGTTATGCATCTTACAGAACTTTACAGAGAATGAGGAGGCAGTGTTTATAGCTCACTTGGCCAGTTGGAGTTTATGTAATACCTAAAGCTGTATTATTTGAAATATTTATGTAATACCTAAAGCTGTATTATTTGAAATATTTTTAAACTCCATAATTTATATAACATGTATTTCAGCAAATATTTTATACCATGTACAGTTTATAAGAATTATCAATTTTTTAAAAAAAAAAAAAGAAAAGAATTATCAATTTTTGGAGATTTGGAAACTACTTCTTTTAACTTCTTTTATTGAGCCAACTTTAAACTTTCTCTTTTGCTTATCCAGAATGTATGCCAGGATTTCAGTGTCTTTACTAGATAGGATTCTGCTACAATTTTTTTAGAGGGGTTAATTTATAGGAATTCATAGTTGATGAATGTTAGGTATTAGTAAAAATTTACTATGATCACATAATTGCTTTCACTTGAATCTGGACAATACCAATACACATTCCAAGAAGGAAAACATATTCTGTTGCTATCTCCAAATCACTCAAAGAAACTGCAGACTACTAGTTAAAGTTGCTCTACTTGTTAAGTCCATTGATGGCATTAGTAAAAAAATATTCTGTTTTTTAATACATAAAAGGGCAATGATGTAATAAATCAAAGAAAAAGTACCCTAAAAATACAGATGAGAGTGTCTGCCTGTTTCTTTGCACCCTTACTTCTGGCCATGCTGACTTTTTAGACCTTGTGATTATCAGTAAATTCCAACATGTAACAAATCTACCTGTTTGGAATAAAAAACGTTATTTTTGCTTTACTTGATAAACTACCTTTCCCTTCTAAGAGTAAGATGCAGATTCAATGCCTGGTATATTATTACCTCAGATTTTATAGACTAGTGGAGTGTACATTTTATTTTTTAAAAATACCAGGGCAATTTCTTAAAAAAAACTTTTATCTGTTGTACATATTAAAACATTGCCACTTGGTAGGTATTTTTCCCCTCCAATAAAAAAAGTCCTCTTGTTTCAACAGTGTCTAGAATATATCACCAAGGAATTGCTATCTAATTGGGTGTGTATTTTATAATGTACAATGTTATATTTAAGCATTTAATTTTACACCAATCACATGATTGTATACAACTATAACTATACCTATTTGTACTTTTATTAGGTTTGTTTAATTCTTCATATTTTTCTAACCACCAAAGTGAATTTCATGGCCTAAGTAACTTATGTAGAATAAGTTTATGTACATAAATTTATATGTACAATTATATATATACTTACACACATACACAAACACTTATTAATTAGGTTATAAGCAAAAAAAATAAAGGATGTGATTTACTGTATTAAATATTAATAAAAAAAACACCCCAACATAGTTTTGTTTTCAAATATTGCTTCTAAACTACAGGGTCACCAATTATAATGGTTCTTTTAGTTTTAGACTAGTAAGAAGAGAAGAAAGGAAATGGAACAGAAAGAAACCCATGTGGTTAATAAATGACCTTTCATCAGCTTCAATGGTAAAAGGTAGTCACTATTAGAACCTAAAGTTATTTAGAGGAGAGGTCTCACTTGACATTATGTAAGTACTTTATGTCTACCCTCTCACTGCCAAAATAATACAGTGTGTGTGTGTGTGTGTGTGTGTGTGTGTGAGAGAGAGAGAGAGAGAGAGAGAGAGAGAGAGAGAAAGAGAGAGAGAGAGAGAGAGAGAGAGAGAGAGAGAGAGAGAGAGAAAGAGAGAGAAAGAGAGAGCGAATGAACATGACTTGACTACTGTGCTACTTTTTCTCTGTGTAATTTTTTTTTTATCATCAAGGAATCTTCTTCCTTAATTTTTATGGTGATAGACATGATACCTTAGACCTGGTTGTCAGAATACTCATCTGAAGAGAAAGGTGTCACATGGGAAAAACACACACGTCTCTTATTGAAAATATAAATTCATCTTAAAAGAAAATGGTACGGCATGCTCTCTTTGTGACATCAACAACAACTTCACATTTATATTTATAACTACTAGTATATATATTATGGTAAATTTCTCAATATTCTATCAGAAAAATTAAAACAATGCTTGAACAATTACAGTGTTGGATTCCCTTTCAATGGTTGTTTTTGGAGAACTAAAGCAAATTAGCTCAAGAATCAGCATTTCTGCACTCCAGTTCTTTTGGCTTTATGTGGCTTTTAAAGGAGTATCCCCAGATGAGAAACTTCTAACGCTCCTGCAGAGATGACCTGCTTGAAGAACGGGCTGCCTGATTAACTATTAACTGCTCTCAATAGGATTAGATAATTAAGGACATTGATGACCATTAATTAGGAGGAGGGCACATTAATTTGTCACTGGATAGGGCCCTTACAATGATTTATAGGTTAGTGCTACTTGCAAATGTGAGGGGAAAGAGAAAAAGAGAGAGAACCATTAAGTTACCTTATCAAGTGGCCAGCTAAAGAGGGCAGAGGGTCAAAAAAGGGCCAAAGTGGTCACTTCAGGGTGAAGTCCCAAACACCAAAGCAGTGCCAAGCCACATTGACCATCATTTGGTGATGAAGTTAAAAATATGCTAATTTATTGGTGGCAATTCTCTCTTTTTATGGTTTCAAGCAGTTAAGACAAGTGGCCTGCTTAAGAGCTTTTCATTTGAAAAGAGATTAAACAAAATGGTTTGTCAAGGCTGCTTGGCTGTTTTATGTCTTTGTTAAAAAAATGGCACCGACTATACTGATAACTATCACATCACCCAAAAGCCATCTCTCTCTGAGCATTTATTTCGTTAATAAATACATCAACCCTAATTGCTTAATAGTGCTATGTTCATTTGCTCTTTAGCAAGATTAAGTTGAAATAAATCTTTTGTACTACCACTTTCTGTCACTATTACTTGCAGAGAGGTCCCACAAAAAGTTTCAGTTTTGTGGAAAATTTACTTAAAGATAGCGGTGTAAATTAGAGTGAGTACTTTGTTTTATTCAGCACAGAAAGCAGAAAGGCGACTCTACTACTAATAAAAAATCAGCTTTTAGAAGGTAGATAGGATCCTCTTTTCTTAACCAGGTACAACTGTGGGTAGCACTCACATTCCACATACAAATAAGCACAGCTCATTAACATTTAATTAAATATGCCTTTGAAAGCCTTGAAAATATGCATGTCATATTCATGTAAATTTGGAGCTTACTTTAAATGTATATTTAAAACAAAATCATTTTTGCTATACTCTAATAATATGCCATTAAAATAAAATAAAAAAATAAGATAGTCTAAAAAATTATTTTATTGCACCAAAAGAATTTAAAAATATTAGCATAGAAAAAAAAATTTAACAGGAACCATCTAAGAATTTCATTGAATATATATATATATATATATATATATATATATATGATTTACCTCAAAACTGTAAGCTGAAATATAAAAATTCTCTTACCTCAATGATGAATAGCTTTCTTTTCAATTTAAAAGCTAAGTCTTTGACATCTGACACATCATACATCAAGTTATTAAGCCGAGGAATCTGACGTATGTGAATCAAACCTTGTGGAAAGGAAAAAAGGAGAAAAATTAAAATGCAGTCACTGGATGCATAAATGAGAGTGGTACAGCAGAATCCTGTAAATTTACACACAGGCATCCTTCCCTTTTAAAACTGGAGCTTACTACCAGGAGCAATGAAGCAAATGGTGTGATTATACTCAAGTAATCAAGCAGAATAAGATAAACAGAAATCCTTGTGCAAGGAAAACTAATTGCACTTTGATACAGAAGTACAGATGCAAAGAGGGATCTTACTACTTGTCAAAACTACAGCCGGTTTGTGTGTGATTTTCTCTTGTATTTACAGTAAGCAAATATGGCTATCACCTTGCATGCTGCCCACGGCACCACTGGGTGATCTTTATTTTATTAAATGCACCAGTAAGCAGCCAGCAAAACAAGGCTTATGGGTTACCCATAACCAGGGAAACACTCATGAAATGCATTCCATTTTGTACCTTATTAATGACTGCTACAAACCATTGAAGAAAACGACATTTTAGAGCACATTCTAGGATCAAACATTAACCCCTAAGCCATCCCAAGACACTCATTTCTGGGGCATGCTAGACCTTCCTGGAGCTGCTATAAGCTTTGTACTAGTGCTAGGTAAACCGTGAGCTTTGGCCTCTTGTCAGTAGAAACACTCACTAATTTTTTCTGACAAGGGCACTGGATGGCTTTTGTGCAGCTTAATACAGTTCCTGACTAACCTAGGGGTCGTTTGCCACAGATGAAGATGTGGAAGATTCTTCAGTGCGTATCTCTGCCTGACTCAGCCCATATTTAGAAATTACTATCCCAAAGACATTGATCCCTAAACATGGGGCAAGAAGGCAAGTCCAGATTTGAACTAAGTAGATAAATCTTATTTATAGAACTGCTTCTCTAGTATAGAATTTTGTGTGTTTGAATGTTTAGTAAGGTATTAGTTTTAGCTTAAAACGGTAAATCTCTAGGTGTTTAACTTTAGAAACGTCCCTTTCAAATATAATTCACTAAAATATCCAATTTATTTTTTGTTAATTTAAAAGGTATTATTAAAAATACAGTTTAGGTACAAATTAAAAATATCTCATGCAGAACTATTTAGTAAAATATATTAGAAATAAGCACACCATACTTTGATTTGCACATTTTTCATTTTAAACTTGCACGTGCTTGTTTAGTTAACTATTAAATCAGGAAGCCTTACAGAATGAAGGAATGATTCCTGAGGCCCTTCTTATTAATAGAAACTTTACTGGTCATCAGAATTACCCATTAATTTGTGAGGAATCATTTATCAATTCAGAAATTTCAGCACAAAAAGTCATAGTCTTTCAACCCCTGAAATGTTTTAATTAAATTGTTTTTTTTAGAATATAAAATATAATTTTACTAAGTTTACTCTTCAACTTGGGTTGTTTTAAAAGAAAATAGAAATATAATAAATTAAAAAAATAGTATGTCCAATTATACAATAAGTAATACCTGGGGATATGATGTACTGCATGGTGACTATGGTTGACAATACTGTATTGTTTATTTGAAAGTTGCTAAGAGAGTAGATCTTAAAAGTTCTCATCACAAGAAAAAAAATGGAACTATGTGTGGTGATGAATGTTAACTAAACTTATTGTGGTACTTATTTCTCAATATATACATATATAAAATCATCATGTTGTATATCTAAAGCTAATAAAATGTTACATATCAATTATAGCTCAATAAAAAAGAGTTTAATCTTAATAGCTCTCTTCCTATCATAATGACAATACTGTATTACATGAATTCTACATAAGGTCTGGGCATATATCAGACACATACTTAAGTAAATGATCATGAGGCAAATTATTTTATGTAGTTTTTGTTCACAGCTTATATTTTATAGGCTTAAAAAAAAGAAACACCTGATTGTGTTATTTTATTTTTTAAAGGTTGTATACTGACTCTTCAAAGTAGTGGCAATCATCATGTAACCTTTTATTTGTAGACTGGGCTTGCCATAGTCCTGCAATCACAACCTTGCACAATCTTGCAACAAACTTCAAATAAGCTATTCAGGCATCAGACTAGAGGTTTCCATGTAAGTGTAGCAGTTCCACAACAGTAACAGCAATAATTAACATTTATTCAGATAAGTAAGTAGGTAAAAATCTATTATTCATCACACTCCATATTCAGTTTAGAGCTAAGATATGCATAATTACTAAACCTTTCCTATTGCGAAAGTTCTATGTAAGAACCTTTAACAAAAATCCCTAAATCAACCAAATGACTAAAATATTACTAAAAGCTTAAAAACACGTTAAGTTAAAAAGTCTAATTAATTGACCTGTGCATATACTAGGATGGTGATATTTTAAAATTTGTTCATAACTCAAACTAACAACAAAATGAGTAGACAGAGAACAGTCCAAATATACTCACAGATGCCTACTTTCTGAAAATGTGACTGACTAGGGCTTTTAAAACATAGTGCAGCGCAAATTTTATTATTTATTTATTATATAGCTAAGCTCTGTAAAGTATGAACCTTTATACAAAGCTGCTATTATTACAATTAATATACTTATTTCAAACATGGCTAATAAGTATGACTGACTTCACAGCAAGTTCAAGCCATCGGACAACAATGCACATCTGGCTGCGCCATGCCTTAGCACTGGGTGTGACTCCTTTCAAACAGTTACCATTGTCTGTAGTCTTAATATCCTTTGGTGACAAGGTGCCAAGGAAGATTGGCCAGGAGTAGAAAACATTTAAGAGATATATTACAAAATAGAATTCATGCCACTGAACAGTAGGTATTATGACTGGACAAGATGCTTCCAGGTACCTTAGGAGGAACCAGGAACATGATATTCTCATCATGAAGGTGCTGCTTACCATGATAATCCTTATATAATGGGTTGGTTTCTCTGTTAGAACCAATAAACGACTCCAGATGAATGACTGTATCTGACAAGTTTGTAATACGAGCAATAATTGCTTTATTCTGAAAAACAAGCAAACAAAAATCTCATGTTATGTTAAAAAAAATAACCTGTATACAGTGCCATTAAGCCATCTCAATGACAAATTGTAGAGGAGACAGACTAACAACAAAAACTGGATGAAAGTATGTCCTTAATTGAAAATTCCATGAAGAGATGTAAATATTCTATTTTAAATCAAAGCACTGAGGGGGGACATACTTTAGTTTTGGTAGAAAATATATAAATTATTTTTCTCTTATTTTAAGAGGCAAGGATATCTTTATGCTCATATACTATTATTTTTCAAATTACATTAGGCATTGGCCATTGGAAAATGTGACGGACATCAGGATTCAAGAGCAGTTGACAGTATAGTAAATGTATAAGGCCCTACTGTCATCTGTCAAATGGGACTAGATCCCAGTCCGGAACCAGCTGAGGTCATCTCTCATATTAGAAACAGGGAAGCATCCAGCTAAAATGCTGCAGCATGGCTAGCTCTGGAGTTTTCTGTTTTCTCTTTCCAGATGCTGCTATTTGGCTCTGGTATGGTGATAAAGGCAAAGAAAAGATGGTAGGCAACTAGCACTAGACTAGTAGCCTACCCTTCCCTTTCCAACACACTTTGATATGAAACAAAAGTATTATTAAACAATACATCCTTGCTCTAGCCGGTTTGGCTCGGTGGATAGAGCGCCGGCCTGCGGACTGAAGGGTCCCAGATTCGATTCCGGTCAAGGGCATGTACCTTGGTTGCGGGCACATCTCCAGTGGGGGTTGTGCAGGAGGCGGCTGATCGATGTTTCTCTCTCATCGATGTTTCTAACTCTCTATCTCTCTCCCTTCCTCTCTATAAAAAATCAATAAAATATATTTTTTAAAAAACACAAAAACAATACATCCTTAAAAAGTTATATTTTAAGTAGCAAAAGTTCTAAAATACCCAAAATTTCATGGCTTTACAATATAATCATTAAATATCTTATAGATTTTCTTGAATAATTTTATTTGATGGAAAGCCCTCATTTCTTTTAATTTGACAGGCTGGTAGGTCAGAAAACTGTTGTATAAGCTTTAACATTCTAGAAAAAGAAATTGTTATGAAGAGCTCTATAAGTTTAAAAAAAGTATTGTTTGTAAAATTTTATCATTTGGAAACTTCCACTTTACACACTGGTAATGCCCACCAGTTTAAAACTAACCTTTATAAAAAGGATGAGAAATGTAAAACAGTCAAGAACATTTATTAGTCAGAGGCCATGTCCCCTATTAGAGAAAAGTCCAAATATAGTCAAAGATGTTCACTTTCTGAAAATGTGATTGACTACAGAGTTTATTGGTATTCCTCTGCTTCTTAAGTCCTCTTATGAAGATGGTATAAGAAAGAAAAATAAAAGAGGGCTGATTGATGTTACCAGACTCAGCATAAAGTACATAGTAGCCCCTGTCACTAAACATTATGTTGAAACTAGAGGCCCAGTGCATGAATTCTTGCACAGGTGGGGTCCCTTTGGGTGGCCTACAGGAATTGGGCTGAAACCCACAGTCTAACGCCACCTGCAGCTCCTACCTGCCGCTCCCGCTCATTCCGGCCCCACTGTGCCTGCCGCAGGCTCGCACCCAATCAGTCCCTGATTGGGAGGCTCGCGCTGCCACAGCAGTGCTCATCAGCCATGTGCCCTGCGTCTGGTGCTCTCCCAAGGGGAGTGGCCTGCAGGATCAGGTTGAAACCGGCTCTCTGACATCTCCTGAGGGGTCCCAGATTGCAAGAGGGCACAGGCAAAGCTGAGGGACCCCACTGGTGCACAATCAGGCCAGGGAGGGACCACAGGAGGGCTCCAGGACATGTCTGGCCCATCTCGCTCAGTCCTGATTGGCTGGACCCCAGCAGCAAGCTAACCTACCAGTTGGAGCATCTGCCCCCTGGTGGTCAGTGCACGTCATAGCGAGCAGTTGAGCAGCATTAGCATATCATTAGTATATTATGCTTTGATTGGTTGTTCGGTTGTTCTGCTGTTCGGTCTATTTGCATATTACCTTTTTATTATATAGGATGACTGTTTAACTCACACCTAGGGTTGTACTTGAAACTCCCCCATAGGTAGAAATGTATGCTACATAAAGGATATTTCAGCCTATGAATTAGTGTCCTTAAAAGGAAGAAGTGAAAATAGTTATTCTTCATTGCCTTTAATACTTTCAATTACATGAGCATCAAGTATAGAAAAAAACAAAATTTGGAAATGCCTGTTTTTCCTAAAGCAATTTTTCACTCAATGGTGAGAAAATAATCAGATTGATTCCTTATTTTCAATTCTGTGTCACAAGGGATGGTCTTACTCCAGGAATAACAGGGCCTTCAGAACATGCTCCTCTCAATATTTCTTTAGCCAAAGACCATTAAATCAAACCCATCCAGGTTGGGTTTCAGCCAGTTATTCTTCACCCAAACAGAAATGTCTGCCAGACATTCCAACAGCTGGGAGACAGTTCACAATGAGTCAACTTGAAAATGATTCATTGTACTGAGTACTGAACAATGTTGGGGTGGGGGTGGGGTGTGGCTGGGTTGGTTGTGGAGGGTGAGAAGAGTGAGAGATGAAGAATAACCATGTGGCTCTCCCATTAAGAAGAATCTTAGATAACAACCAGCAGGCTCTTATCATTTCATTTTTAGGATAAACTCCACTGGGACGAGTGCTCCTCTCATGGACCCTCTGATGAACAAGCACTTAAAAAGGCTACTGACAAAATTTCTTAATCAAAAAGGTCAGATTTCCTTTTATTTATAAATAGAAGACTAAGCCTTTGTATCTAAATATCTGAATCTAAAATGATAAAAGCCAGTTTTTGTTAGAACTCAAATATTTAGGATTTCATTGATATAAAATCTAGGGCTTTCTCAATTATATGAATAATAGAAACTATGGGGCTTAAGGGTGGGATTCATATTCCATTCTAGTAGTATCCTGTGTATTTACATGGTCAACCTGACATTTGTTTATTTCAAAGAGGGTTTTCTTCCTTAATTTAACCTTAAAATTTATTAGTAATCTATTTAAAACTCTGTAATATTTATCAACTTTATAGGTCTTTTTAAGGTAGTTTGTGGGACATAAAACATTAATTTCCACTTTGCAGAGGAAAACTAAAGAATTCCAAATGTAAATGATGTGTATAGCCTAGATTTCAAATCTCAAAATTTCATAATATATATTTCATTTGTTATATATATATATAAAGTTCCCTAAGTTTATATCATAGTTATTAACTTATAAACTAAATTCTATTTTTAAAGCTTTCATGAAGTATTTGCACAAGAATAAGCTTTTAATCATACTATTAACAGAAAATAATTTATATTTAACAATGACCTTACTCCTTTCTGCACAGTTTATGTGATGTGGCAAACCAGATTGTGAAAGTTGTAAAGATATCTGAAAAATGTCTATAGAATCAAAAACACTGGAAATTACATAACATCAAAGAGCCCAACTTTATTGTAATTAAAGGTATATAACCTTCCAATTATCTGTAAAAGTATGAAATATATTTGGGTATGTAAATGTATATATGTTTTAAAAAGTTAAGATTGTGTTACAGATTACTTCTGTACCTCCAACATTCATAAAGAGTATGGTCTACTGATGTAATCATACCTTAAAACCACTGTTGTCAAAAGGTCTTTCAAATTACAATATTAATACTAAATGCTTTTTTAGATAAAAGGTGGGTGAATTTGCTTGAATGAATCTAAAATTAATGATTGCAAAAAAGTCCTTAAAATACTAATTACAATGCATTTTAAGATGAATACACTGTGGACAATAAATTGTCATAATATAACCTGCAATGCTCAGAAAGCTTTAGCATAAGGATCTGAGCAGAGGCCTCGACACTAGAACTTCCACATTCTCATCCTAACAGATTCTAAGAGTTTTTATGTGTTTAGCAACACACACCTCTTTGGCCTATAGTATATGTAGTTGAAAATGGAGAAGCAAAGGTATGTTCATCAATTACTTAGGCATACATTTGAATATAACTTTTAAAAATGTTGAACTTGTTACTTTACAATTCCCAATAAAGAACATTTGAATAAGGACATTTGGGACTCACCAGTATGAGTAAATTAATGATTATACTGAATGCATGGCATAATGACATCACCCAGGCATGTACAATGACACTGCCATCCCTCCTCTTTGCCCATCTGGATGTGAAAGTCTAGGATGGCTCAAAAATCCTTCTTATATTAGACAAATCTCCCTTCGCTCCTAGGTGAAAGTTGTCAGCTCTGGATAGTAGCCAAGACATGACTAGGAGGGAAGCCAGGAGAGAAGAGAGCCAGTGTCCAGGAGTTTTAAGAGTTTGCTGGCAGACTCAAATAGCATTGTATTATGTTACATAAAAGGCTCTTAAAATGTTCTGTTGCAGTGTAATTTCTTAATTATTTAAGTTTAAATTATGTCAATGCTATTACAAATAAAAAGGCAAATCAGATTGTCCAGTTGTCTACTTTCAAGTCCAATTTCACAAAAACTTGAGATTTTGTTTTGATTGTTCCTGTTTTGGTTTCATAGTATGCCTCCTGTTTGCTTTTATAGAATGGTAACCACTTTTACTAGGACACACCCAATTCACTAAATGGATTTTAAATAAAGGAAGATTAATTTAATGCTCCCTTTCAATTAAAAACTCATTAAGCCCACACCATGAACTTTGTGAAGAGATAAAAATTCAACTACTGCCATATAAACTCCCTCTATTTTTTAATAGAAAGAGTTTAGATATCTATTTAGAGCAGCCAAGTAACAATCAGAATACCCCATACTTTAAACTTTCTTTGACCTAATTATCTCAATAATATAAAAGATTTAGTACATAACAAAACAAATATACTTCCTGGGAAAAAATTGACAAGAGAATTAAAAATTAATTAACCAATCACTTAATTATCAAGAAGCTTGAAAGGAATAAACCAAATAACATAAAGCATTTATGCAATGCCTTAAATAAG